TGAACTCTGGAAATCTGTGCAATAACAACTGTTTCACTTAAAAATATGGTTAGAAAACAATAAAGCCTGTCCTCCTGTTAACCCTAAATTAAGTAGCATATGTACATGGCCACAGGGTCCTAGGCAGTGATGTCTTTGAGGAACCAATGTTAGAGTATACCTCTGAGTCCATTAGTTTTTTTACATTTTGCTGAGCTTTAAAATAGCACAAATCCATCTGATGTTTTTCTGAAAGCTCATACTGTTTTCCATAGTACCTCTGAAATGTGAAGTGCTTGCATTTTTGTGGGAGAGGGAACAGCAGACTCCTCTGGCCCATGTGGGTTTGTGAGTGATTCATCTGGAAAGCTTTGTATTAGCATCTACCACTTGAGACCCAGAGGTTAGCATGCTAGCTGTATATTAAATGCCTCTTGCCTCTCTGATACCGAATTGATGTTTTCTAATTAAGAATACAAGTGCTCTGTTCTCCGTGAAAATCCCTCTTCACTTCACAAGAGCCTTTGGAAATCTCATCACTGTGAGAAGTCCCAGTCTAGAGCTGGGCAGGCTGGAGAATACAATATCATAAGGAGCAAGAAAAAGCTGCTGCAATTAGGACACCACCATCTCGAAAATACAGGTGTGAGGACCCTAGGGAGGGCAGCAAGGCTTCAGTTTCTGAGGACAAAACTCTCATTACAGCCTTCCATCTTCTTCTTGTGTTTCTGCTTATGCCTGACAATGACAGGTGTGGGCTGGCTGCTTAATTTCATTGCAGTTGGAGAAATAGAGGCAAAACTGGGGACCTTGTTCCTCCACCCATTGGGATAATATGAGGATTAGCTTATTTGTAAAGTACTTTGAAGTTAAAGTGCTTTGAAGATGAAACATCCTGTATGGATGCTTAGGTACTTTTAGTCATTAGTGACACTCAGTGACAGGTGACAGAGCTGAAAGGAATAAGGCTGAGCAATTGATGAAGGAAAGACACAGTTTAGTTTAGTGAGCATCTTTGATTATTGTGTAGGCTGGAGCTGTAACTCTGTACAAACTGATAGCATTTTAATGATATGTCCATTGTTGCTGAGAGGGATGCATTAACTTATGACTAACATAAAAAGGACTTTTCATTAAGGCAACAGGATACCAGCAAACACTTCCATTCTGGTTTGCTGTCTAACTGCCGAGCTAATGTAGGCTGTATTGCCACAAAGGTCTCATAAACCCTGGTTTGAGCTAAGCTGCTCTAGAAAAGCTTCCTGAACAATAAAGGATGATTCTCAATACAGACACATGTTGGAAGGTTTGTTCTCTGTGCAACTGCTACTCATAAGGAACTCTTGATATTAAGGAATAGTAGTAGGTTTGACTCAGTACAAGAAGTTTGGTTATGCTTTCAAACTGTAGCCATGCTCCTTGAGACACAAGGTTTGGAAAACTTAGTAAAACTGGTTTCCTATTTTGTTGGGTTTTGATAGGGTTTTTTTAACTTATATTTTTTTAAATTTTCCATGTGAATTTAACCCCACACAAGAGGGACCAGATTTAAAAGTGAGAAGATTTCACAGTTCTGGGCTGTTTATGCCCATCTCAGCATGGATCCCAATTAGTAGATTTTTAATAGGATTTTTGTCTCTCTTAAAACTGTAAATAAACAGAAATAATGCTATCTGTAATTACTACTCTTGGGGAGAGAAACATTTGCTGTTATGAAGAAATACGGTTTTGTAGTCTTGTATGGAAAATCCTCAATCTGCTCAGATTGCACACGAGTCCAAATTTTTTTTATACAAAAGAGGGGTGGAGTAGGGGAGCTGTTTCCCAGCAGGGTGCCTGTGGAGTTGAGCCAAGGGGATTTCTTACTGTGCTGCTGAAGGATGGGGTGAGACCTGTGGGCATTGAGTACAAGGAGGCAGGCAGTCAGGTGGCTGACTGCAGCACTGATGTCCCTTCGTTTCAGTCCTGAAAGTGGTATTTGAGACTGTTCATCTGCCTACTCCTCTGCCCCCTCACTTCACCTACCTTGCAGAAATCGAGTATGTCTGACAGTTGCAAGTACCTCGTCATCATGCATGACTTCTGGGCTGCCCCATAGTCCATGTGCTGTTGGTGTACTCACTGCTACTGAGACACTCCTGGAGGGTAACGTGAAGTTGTTTCTCACATGCAGAAAATCACATGGAGGCTTGCAGTGAAAGGAGAGCATCATAATTTTTTGAGTGGCAGTTGTTGGGTTATTAAAAAAACCCCAAAACAACAGATTATTTTTTTTATTAATCACAGTGTTTGGTGTGTTTTGTTTGTTTCCCCCCCAGCCAAGTTCACCTCTGGCTTTGCTTTTGCTCTGTCTTTACCAGTGCTGCCATTCCTTTTATCAGCATGCTGTTTGTGATTTATCTTTTTACTCACTTATTACTGTGTGCTTTTTCTTTCTCCAGGGGCTGAGGTGAATGCTTCCCCACTCTGGAACTTGGCACAGGTGAAAATGGAACCACAGGAAAACGAGGAGGCCAATGTACATGGCCACGGGGTCCTAGGCAGTGATGTCTTTGAGGAACCAATGTCAGGCATGAGTGAAGCCGGGATGCCACAGAGCCCCAATGGCTCTGAGAGCAGCTACGGTTCTCATTCTGCTGACAGTCTCATGGGATCCTCACCTGTCTTCAACCAACGCTGCAAGAAAAAGTTGAAGAAGATGTGAAAAGGAACTTGTTTTTTATTTAATCCTGATGGTATGTAATAGACTTGAAACAAACTAGGAGAGTACTGTGATGGCTGTGATTCCAACACAGGGCTAGCCCTGGTGTATGTGGGACCTGCGTAAAATTACTACGAGAGGTTTGACGTGTAGTGCACTTCAGCTCCCCTCTTTGCTGGCTTCTGTGCTCCATCCTGACTCATGAGACTGAAGATCATTTAATGGACATGGCTTGCTTTGGCAGATTAATGATGAACTTACCAGTGAAGAGTAGTTGTGAGGAGGTTGGTTAAGTCACAGAAACATTGAATAGTTTGGTTTGAAGGGACCTCATGATGTTTCTACTCCAGCCCCCTGCTCAGAGCACAGCTGATTAGAGCAGGTTCCTGAGGGCTTTGTCCATTCGAGTTTTGAGTATCTATAAGGATGGTGATGCCAAACCTCTTAGGGCAGTGTTTTCCCACATTTGACAACCCTCATAGTAAGAAAAAATATATTCTTGTGGCAGCTAGTCAGAATTTCCCCTGTTCCAGCTTGTGTTCATTGTCTCTTGTTCTGTCACTGTCCATCTCTGAGAAGAGTCTGACTGTCTTCTCTAAGCTGCCTATTAAGTGATTGTATACAATGAAATCTCTCTTTAGCCTTTTCTCTTCCTGTGTGTGAAGAAACCACATTCCCTCAGCTCTCCTTTCATGTTCTGTGCTCCAGCCCCCTAACCAGCAATGTGGCCTTCCACTGAAATTGCTGCAGTGCCCTTGTAAAGGAGAGCACAAAAGTGGATGCAGTCTCACAAATGCTGAATAAAGAGGAATAATAATTTCCCTCAATGTGCTTGCTGAACATAGTCTTAGTCAGGGTGTCTTACTAGTTGGGGAGCTGCTGCTGGTGATTATGATGACCTAGCAAAGATGCTGTAGAGTGGTCTCACGGGGCCATTAGCCAGCTCCTTCAGTGCCTTCAGATTTATCCTGTTGGTTCCAACTGGCATAAGTTCTTGCTAACTCAGTCTTCCTCTACTGTAGGTAATGCTTTATTCTCACACACTGCTAAAAGGCTCGGGACTTGGCAGGCCTTAAGGCAGAACTTATCAGTGAAAACAGACAAAAAGGTGTTGCATACATCAGCCTCAAAGTACAAAGAGCATCCATTGTCACCAGACTGCATGTATTGTTGAACAGTAAACCCAGGTTTTCTTTAACCTTTCTTTTGCTTTCAGTGTAGTTAAAGAAGCCCTTCACAAAAACTCCAGCTGAGTTTTGGCTTTCCTAACTGTCCAGCATAAATGGGCTGTGTCTCCATATCCCTGATGACCAGCCCATCCTTACTTCCACTTCTGTGTACCTTTTCTTTTGTGTTGTAGCTCAGTCAGGAGTTCCTTGATCATCTGTGCAGGCCTTCTGTCATGCCTACTTTAATTTCTGCTTGTCAGAAAGGACTCCTTTTCTACTTTGAGAAAGCTGTATTCGAAGATAAGGCAGCATACTTGGGTTCCTTTGGGCAGCCAGGGCAGTCGCTCATGAAATCCTGTCGACATTCCTTGAATAAACCAAAATATGTTGACCTAAAGGTACAGGACTCTGTCTTGTACACATTTCTCAGGATTTTAAATGCCACAATTCCATGTCTTCTGCAGCCAAGTCCTTCACATTCTCCACCAATTCTTTCATGTTAGAAACAAGTGCAGCAGAGCTTGTTCCCTAATTGATTTCTTGATCATCTGCTCAGGGAAGCTGATGTGGTTTTCTGGAGAGAATGAAGCAGCTTTTACTATTGGTGTGAGCCAGTACTGGCAATGCAAACTTTTCCTTTGCTGTCGTTGGATTGAGTGCAACAACTTCAAGCTGGCTGAGGTTTCATATTCAAAGTTGTTATCTTGACAACTTAGTTTGAAACAGAATCTATTTTGCTGCTTGCTTTTATGGCTCAGCTGACTGATGGCATTTTTTTTTTGTTCCGCACAATCCTCAGTTGATCAACTTGGTCTTTAACTTGATTCAGTGTGTCTCTCTCTCAAAAGAGCTAGAATGAACATGAATCAAGAATGAACAGCCACTTAAACTGGCTTTATACCTGTAACCCCTTGGGATGTTTGAGGGAAATTTACCAAACCTCCCATTTATCCTTACGATTGCAGATTTATCTTTTGAAAGAATGAGCTTCAGGCACAGTATTTTTGTTTCTATAACATGCCTGGCCTTAATTCTTTTTTCCTGACTGTATTTCTCTTCCACTTTATAGAAGTGGAAGCCAAACATAAAATTCCTCAATGTCTAATAAGGATGTGTGACCACAGGCTTTTATGGACAATGGAGTTAAAATTGTCCATCACCGTTTTAAAGGTTTTTCTGGGGGGTAAATTCTCACTGTTTGAAGCCTAGTCAGTAGTAGAAGAGCATACCAGGGAATCTTTATTTTGATTCCCCTGGAGTCACCATTAGGCAAGCTGCAATGTCCCTGTTTTCTCAGCTGTAGAAAAAGAGTAGTAGTATCTGCCTTTTAGAAGTGTGTTTGAGATTTAGTTACTATGCAAAAAAGGTACAGTGATCATTCTGAGAGTTTTATGGGAGCTGTGAGCTTTTTGGTAGAACTTTTGCTGGGTGGAGAATGCTTAGATGGTCACTGAAATCTTACAGTCCTATATGATACAAGTTTTAAGCAAAACTGCTGATCCTGAAGAAGTACAGCACAACTCTGTTGTTCAGCTGCCCAGGTACAAGGAAGGCATTTGGGGTGGTATGTTCTCACTTTGCTTTAGATGTCTCCATCTAAGCTTGTTCCTCTGGGCCACATTTGCAGCTGAAGAGAAATAGTCATTCTTAGGTCACTGGCCTGAAGTACACATATAAAACAGGTCGAATGAATGACACTTTTAGAAATGTCTATTTTTCCTTTGTATGCCCATAAAGTGAGTTCAACTTGACTACCTCAGCTGAAGACATCCACACCATCAATATCTGAGATAAGTGATGCGACTTTAGCCCTTTCTGTGTGGGAATCAGACAAGGCTTCCTCCTGCTGGGCCAGTGCTTTTGCTTTTCTTTTATGCACATTTAGTAGAGTTTGCTGTTCAAGTGGTAGTATGGGGCTAAAAGCAGACTGTCCCTCTCAGCTAAACCAGCAGATCCAGTGTTCTCCACAACTCACAGAATGTGCTAGGCTGGGGCTTCGATGCTCAGCCTGGTTTGGCCCTTGTGTCTCTAATAGTGTCTGAGACCATCTGTCATTTGGCCAGTCTCCATAGATGCTTTGCAAACTGGTGTAGTAAAGTATTCTTGAAGCCAGGGCACCTATGCAAAGTCTGTTGCACTATTTTCAGGAGCTAGATGACAGTGACTGCTGCCAGCATTGCTTGCTCATTTGCAAGATTTCAAGTGTGCTAAAAATGAAAATCTAGTGTACTCCAGGGCTTTGGTTTAACCTCCTAAGTGTTAATCTTAAGTGCTCACCCTGTATTGCCCATGTGCAGATGTTCTGTCTTACTTTTGTGATTTTTAAAAAAATTTCTTATCCCTTTTCCACACCCATTTCATCCTGTAACACACAGTCTGCAACAAGCCAAGCCTGAGTGTTTCAAGTGTATTTAAAGACAGTGGAAATTCATTCTCCTTTGATTCAGCTGTGTTGTTGCAGTGTAAGGGAGCAGTGTTATTGATTCTCTTTGGGATGCATGTTTATGCAGAGGTGAGAAATCCATTGGCATTGCTTACACATTTAACAATGATGGCAGAGTAATAGCTGTACCTCCTGTTCCCCCACTAGGCTAAGGGTTGCTGCTGACATTTGCATGCTTGATGTTTTCTTTTATGCAGGTGGAAGCTTTACCTTCTGGGTGAGCCCTTCCCCTCTGAACATTTGTGGTTCTTAGATTTACAGTGGTGTTCATCATGCATGAAATAGTGAAATTTAAAATCTAGCTCACAAAGTCACATGCAGACAATGTGCTCTTTTGATGAATCAAATAAGATTTTGCTAGGTGTTAATGCAGCCTTGGCCAACTAGTGAGGTGTTCATTGACCATGTAATCCCCGAATTTTAAGCCACAGTGGGATTATGCAGTGGGTTGGAATGAAGCTCTGCTCTCGCAGTTGTTTTTTTTTTGGTTTTTTTTTTTTGCTGATCACTGGTAAAGCTCTTCTGACCCACCTGCTTCAGCAGTCTGCAGTTTTGATAGTTCTTTCATCTTTCTCACTTCCCTTTCCAAAGCTGAGTGGATGGCAAATTGGAATATTGAGTATTGACCATGTCCGTATCCAGTAGCATTGATGTCTTAAGAGTGATTTATTTTGCCATGATTGAAATTGGTGGGAACTTTGATATCCATTTGGAGAGTGAGATCTGTGAATTACTTGGTTTTTGAAGTGTTTTGCATAGGAATCATGCAGGATTGTAGTTGAGAGAGCGCTGTGTATCGTATTCCTTTTTCCCCTCTAGCAATACCTTTTTATTCCTTTTGAAGAGTTTTGCCTGGTATCCAACAAAGTTTGCTGTATAAATGGCAGTGTAACAACTTTAGTGTACAGCTCTGTCAGACTGTGCTACCTAGTGATTTAATTCCAAGACCATTCATGCCAATTTGAATATGCATAATGCTGTGCAGAAAAAGAGATGTTTCCTGCATAGAAATTTACAATTTAAAAAGAAAACAGGAAAATAAGATTAGGTAGGGTAGGTGAGGCCAATCTGATTACGTGCTCAGTTCTGAGACTAATGCACATGTTATGTGTGAAGGATGTTTTACTTAAAATGTTTTTGTACATGCATGTGAATGAAATATATTATTTTGCTTGTGTTTATATGGAACAAAATTGCTTGGAAATATTTCAGGGTTGGTTTTTTTTTCCCTTGCTCTCCTGGAGAGAGTTTCTTTGTAATTTCTAAGAAAATAAATAAAACTATTCAGAAAAAAAAAAAGTCCTAAAGCTGTTGTGTGGATTTTTTGGTTTATTTTGAAGAATGATGCTGTGAACACAAAGGTTAGTCTTGTGGTTCTGCCTATCCTTATG